CCCCGCCCGGGGCCCCCGCGGCCCTCCCGACTCTCCGGCTCTCCATCCACGGCTGCGGCTGCCCGGGCGAAGGGAGCAGCCCGCGAGGGACATCCTCTCTGCGTCCCCCGCTATGAGACGGTCGCTATTTATATTTATTTTTGCTGTTTTTTGCAAAACTGGGCGAAAGCTGGAGCAGCCTCCGCAAGCAGGGAGCGCAGGTCCCCCCGGGGACCGGCATGCAGCACACGCGAGAGCAGCGGGGAACCAAGGACAACAGCAGGGATGCAAAAAAAGGAAGAAAAACCAACAAAACAAACAAAAAGGAAAAAAAAATAAAAAAAAACAAAAAAAAAGACATCAGCAACCTTGGGACTCCAAGGCCACAGGGCAGAGAGACAGTGCGAGCACCACAGCACGTGTCACAGGAGACAGACAGACAGACAGCCCCGTGCCGACCAGATACGTAAAATATCACCACTCCGGGACCCTCACTAACCTCTAACTTGTTGCTCCAGGTTCAGTATGACTGATACGGCCTGGTGTAGGATTAGCAGTTTGGTCTGCGGTTTTTCGCTGTTTAGGTGGAGTTGGCACATGCGTCCGAGCTCTTTAAAGGCCTCGTTGATGTCACGGACCCGCAGGCGCTCACGGGCATTATTGGCGACCCTCCTTTCTCTCTCTCTCTCGGCTTTTTGCTCTGGGGGAAGAAGATCGTCCTCCTCATCCTCATCTTGACTAATGGTTTAAAATAAGAACGAGACAGGGACATTCCTCGCGTGCACTCTCAGCACTGGTCAACTCACAGCAAAGAAACACATGTTCAGACAGCAAGTGCCGGCCTGGTGCCCCGCACGCGGGGACACGCAGTGACTTTGCAGACAAGCAATTTAGACTCTTCTTCTTCTTGCTCTTATTTTTTTGCCTTTTTTTTTTTTTTTAAGAACAAAGAAACCACCAAAAATAAAACCCTCCTGGGCTTGTCCCGGTGGCCGGGAGGTGCGGGAGGGAGCTCGGTGGCACTCTCGGCCGCGCTGGGACAGGCTGGAAGGGCTCTGCCTGCTCGCGGCCACGGGCCTGGCCGTGCCAGCCGTGCGTGGTGATGGGAGGCAGAGGAGGGAGGGCGGCGGGGAGGAAGGAGCGGGCGCTGCTGCGGCGCTGGGGCTGCCGGGGGCCCTGGCCATGGCCGGACCCCAGCCCCAACGTCCCCAGAGCGGTAACAGAGTAAGCGAAGGGAGAGACCTGTTCAAAGAGCACCTTGTTCTGTTCCGCGACGGCTTCAGCTCCTTCTTCTCCTCTTCCGAGTTATCGGCCACTGAGGTGTTCTCCTCGTCCTCCTTCTCCTCCCTCTTTATCTCGCTGGTCCCCGAGGAGACGCTGCTGCGCCCCAGCGCCCCGGACAAGCCTGCCGAGGGAGCAGAGCCGCATGTTGGAGGGGCGCCGGCCCCGTGGGCCCCGGCGACCAGCGCCAGCCTCTGGGGAAAGCCCTGGGATCCGGAGCCTGCAGGGAGCCCCCGCCGCAGGGAGCGCCCGCAGCAGCACCGGGGTTGCGGCCGGGCAGCCGGGCTGTGCCGTGGGGCACCCGGGCCAGCCAGGGCCATCTCAACCCCGTGTCCTCCCATCCCAGGTCCACCGGAGCCGGAGCCCAACCTCCCTCCTGGCAGGGCAGGGCCCGGGAGCTCTCTGAGGCCAGCAGAAAGGGTAGGACCGTGCGGGTCGAACCAGCACCCCCAAGGACCTCTGCGGCCCAACACCCCCCGCAGCTCCGCTCCGCAGACAGCCCCGGGCGCGACGCGTGCGGGGGGACGCACCGCTGTACGTGTCCTGCTGCCGGCCGGGGT